TTGTCTTTTAGTTGGTGTCTTATTCACCTCAATTGCTGGGTAACTGAGATCTGTGTCTCAATACCAAAAATGCCTCAATTTATTCCTTTCAAATGCCCGCGGATGTCAAGGTGTTGTTTCTGTGTGGATTTCAATTGCTGAGTAACTGAGATCTGTGTGTCTCAATACCAAAAATGCCTCCATTTATTCCTTTCAAATGCCCACAGATGTCAAGGTGTTGTTTCTGTGTGGATTCAAAAGTGTCTCAGTCTCCTGCCTTCACCTTTCCAGGACTCAAAGGTGAGTGTCTCTCTGGGCTCCACCTGGAGCATTTTTCCTAATACAGGATTCACACGCGTTGCTGTGGCGGGTCCCACCATTTTCTTAATAGCAGCTCAAGAAAGAGGTGCTGATCACCCAGGAACTCCATAACGCATGAGAAATCTCTGCTGAAATGACCAAAACCAATCTAGACACTTGCCATAACCACCACAGAGCAGTGCTCCTGCTTGTATTCTCCAGCTCATGAAGAGCATGTTCCACCTCCCGAAACTGCACACTGTGGTACCTTAGAGCACTGGCTGGGCAAGGAGGGCAGAGTCTGAATCATTTCAGAGACAATTTAACCTGGGAAGTGCTCTAACCATGGTGCCAGGATAGTAAGCGAAGAGGTTTTAAAAGAAATCCTTGACTTCTCCTCAGTCCTGGATTCCAGACGGACTTTTCTACAGGTGTTCAGCAAAGCATAAAAGAAAAGATTTATCTTTCAGCACCTCCAGTGTTTTCACTTCCCTTCTGTAAAATTGGGATAACTGTACTGACTTTTGTACAGTAGTGTGCTCAAGAAATTAGTTTTGCTATATTGTGTATTATATCTACACTATATATATGAATTGAATATATATTTTGTATATTCATTTGCGAATGAAGATGTACATCATACTCTTTTGATACAATGTTAGTTTTTTCCAAATGGTTTAGTGATTGCTTTTATGTGTTCCATATTGTAAGATCACTGTCACACAAGCAGCAGTAGCTTTATACTTCTCCATGGTAAAACAGCCAGTACTTACATTCATAAAGACATCGTGAGCGTAGCTGTCGGTGTCAGCATCCCAGAAACATCGCGCAGCCATACTAGATAAAGCAGATGGAGCAAAGCCATTATCCACACAGTGCTTGAGTATGGACCTAAATCACAGATACTGTCCCTGAAAAGGAACCTGAGCTTCCCTTAAAGGGAACTAGAAGCATTTTCTGAATCCGGAGCCTAGGTCTCTACTGCTGAATTCCACCATCTGCTGTAACCCCATCTGTACACTGACCAAGCTGCACTTCCTGACCCACTGGCTGTCAACACTGCCATCTCCACTGAGCAGCAAATCTCACCACTCTGGTGCTTAAGTATCTTGTAACTTCTGGATTGTGCGTATCAGTGCTCAATTTAGCTTCCTTGTCCTTCACCTCCAGCACCCTTGTGGTATGTATTCCCTATTTATTTATAGGTCGCTATCATATTGCTTGGCAGCCTTTGTGTTCCCAGACTGCGAACTGAGCTTTTCCAGCTCTCTGCCCCAGACCATTCTGGGGGCCCTCGTCTGCAGCTGCTTCAGTCTGAGCTTTACCTTGGAGAGGAGCCACCGGGACATGCCGCGTGGGATCCAGCTGCTGCCTTGTCCGATGGCCTTTCTCACTCCCCTTTCTCTACTGACTGCAATTGCCCAGTTCTTTGTCTGCCCCAGTCAGTCTCAGGCAACAGGCTCCCTGTTTGCTGTGCCTTGTTATTCCTAGTCCCTATATGTATGACTGAATTCTGTTTTTGAATTTCATCATTCTTCTCTTAATTTAGCGCTCAGGATCATCCTGCTTTTCTGTCCTATATTCCAGTCTTCCTCTGGAAAGTTTTGTTATACAACATTTTGCCCCAAGGGTATTTGATTGTGACTTAACCTAGCCTCCTGTTTACTGCAAAACGGAGAATTTCCCTAACTGCTCCTCAGAGTCCACGTTGCTGGGTTGGATGTTTCGAATCAGGGCGCCTCTTTGAAGCGCTCGCTGTGATACTGCTCGGGAGCAGCCTGCCTGCACCTGGACACTGCTGGCAAAGGCCTCACCGGCAGGTACAAGTGTTGCTGTCTGACCTCCATAACATTGAAGTGGTAGATCTGACTGCTGCTCTGCTGCACTTATCTTCTGCTCAAGTACCCAAGCACAATATTAAAGATAAGCCCTGTGGGCTGCTCCCCTTTTTTTTCCTCCTTACTCAGCAGTCATGGAAAGCCAAGGCCCACTACAGCAGCAAACAGGATTTTTTTTTCCTGACTGCAGGCCTCCAGGCTAGATTTCAAGCACTTAGTACCCACAGTTGAGGCTAATTTTCCATGACAGTACAGCACATGAATTACAGAAATTTGTACTTCTGAAAAATGCTTATTTGGGGAGATTAAATGGGAGGGAAGTACTTGTTTCTAAATCCTGATTTAAGGCTTGATTTCAGTAAATGAGTTAGCATGGCTCTTGTACCCCATCTGGGCCTTGATAACAGATTGGACGTATCCTCTACTCCATCACGAATACAAGGTAAAATGTCTTACTGTAGCGCTCCTCTCAACTGCTCCTCAGCACTTCACCTTGCTAAGAACCACCGTACAGTCAATTATCACAGCTCAACTGACTCACAGTAAATCAGTCAGCCACAGTAACGAAATTGTCTCTCCAAGCTCTCACTTGCTTAAAGCCCTTTAAAGAGAAAGTACTTTACATTTTAGCTCTGAAGAGTTATTTTTGTATCTAGGGAATAAAACCAAACCAAAACACAACACAAGCAATAAAAACGCAATCGGAACATACAGAACTTACTTTACTCCTTCACCTCTCTGCTCTCCAATCACCACCTGCACAACCATTTTGTATCTCTCAAATCCTTCATCTGAGGAAAGAAAAAGTTAACAACTTAAAAAACTATATTTATATTAAGATGGAAAACACAAAATGGGATACAGAGAGCTAAAGATTTTGTTTCCAAAGCTGTGTCCTATACAACATAAACTACGTGCAATTGATAAAGTGGACAAACTGCCTCGTGGCTTCATTCTCATCTGTAAAAAGTAGCACAGCCTTCTTAGAGATAAAGGGTGAGCAAGGTATTTGGCTTCTTTAAAAAGGCGTATCCAAGGAAGAGGATGTCCCTGAACAGCCATAATAAATGTATGTGTTCTAGTTCTACAAGTTTCAATATTTGAAAACATTAAGTGAATATAAATAAGGCTGCCAGTGGACAAAGTCCAATTTAAAGAAATTGGCTTGTTCTGATACAAAGGAATTTTAAAGTTTCTTCTGCTTCTGAGCTGGAAGGAAGTGCCACATAAAAGCACATGCATGTTTAAATTATCGTGTCTGCAGAAATATATGGTTTTTTCACTATAGCAAAGAAATATTCCACATGACCTTAACCATTCTGTGATTCTGTGTATGACAAATCAGAATAAGCACGTTTAAAATGAAATGCACATCCTAATGCCTTTGTCTTCAGCAAAGTAGTATCCTGGTAAGACTCCAGCACACTGCTTCCCCTGGAAGGCTGAAGATGACGTGCTGGGTCTGGCAACTCCCACCATGTGAAGGCCTCTCAGAGGTGGCAGTGGGTACCACATGAGGCCAGTCCTGCTTCAGGCTACTCTAAGTCTGCTTACAGACTGCTGAAGCCAAACTCCGTGCATATTAGCGTGGCATCAACACATGCTGGGACTACAGCTGCTGCTCATTTTAAAATAGATGCATAATACTAGGAGAAGGGAAAACCCATGGCCTGGGGGGAGGGTGACGCTCTTTCCCCACAACCGCTGCCCCCAACGCAGCAGATGGAGCCCCAGCCTGGAGCTGGGCAGGAAACAGGTGAACAAACCCTGATGCCAAATCACACTCCTGCGCTTGTGCCAGCACGGAGCGCAGGAAACACCTGCCTCGTCCTGAAATAAGTCGTGGGAGGGCATCCTGCACAGCACAACCACCAACTTTCTCCAGTGGGACAGGACAGCACTCACACCCATCATCCTTGACTCACTGCACTACTAATTCCTACCCCTTCATTGCTCCTGAGGGACCCTATTTTGATCTCTCTGTGATTCCATTCTGACCCAATCCTGGTCTAATATACAGCGAAACAAAACAAAACACAGGGCTAATTCTGTTTAGTGGAGCAAGAGGCAAATAAGCATCACTTATCCTTCCGCTAATGCATCTTCTTTTCTTTCGGAACCCCTCCAAGACTGATGTCCAACACTATCTGTTCTACACAAAAACACATTTGTCTGTTCCTCCAGGCAGAGAATACATATATATATATAGGCCAGGTTGTTTCATAACAATACACTGGAATCAGTCAATGGAAGGAGTAGGTTTCAGTAATAAAGGAGGAAAGAAATAACACTCAGCAAACCTCCTTACCTTTCAGTCGATCTTTTATTATCTCCGATAAGGATTTGGTAAGTTGAGGCATTTCTTCCGGGACGTACTGTACATTGGTCAACTTCTCTTTCAGTATTGCATGGATACATTCTTTCACAGTAGAAGATTTAAATCTAACATGGCAAAAAACAAGCAACAAAAGATCCAGAAATTTCAGACAAAATACACAAAAATTAAAGTTTTTCTTTTTTTCTACCACAGCTGGAGCTATTAAAAATGAGAAAAAAATATATAATGGGAGAGCAAAAAAAGAAAAAATACCCACAAAAACCCCAGAGGTTTCTTAATCAGCCTTGGTATCACCAAAAGGTAACCCTCAGCATGGATGGACCCCCCTCCATCTGGTCGGTGCTCAGAGGTAACTCTTGCAGCAGCATCACCCCCGCGCTTTCCTGCACGTCCCTCCTGCTGCTGGTACAAAACACGCTCTGTGAGCCCAGCCCTGAAACCCCAGCTCTGCCCATGCCCCCCGGCCCCGCAGTGCTGCCCCACACCGCCAAATCCCTGCGGACCCCAAACCTGACATCCCCACCTGACAGACCCCCAGCAGTCCCAGGCTCCACATCCGCACCCACATCCCCAGGGCGCCGGGGCCTCCCCTCCACATCCCCAGGGCCCTCGGGCCGCAAAGCCCTGCGGGCCCCAACATTCCCAATCCCATTGCCACGCTCCCATCCCCGCGGGCCGCCCACCGGCGCTGGAAGCCGGGCCGCAGGCTGTACGTGTTCCCGGCCTCACCGTCCGGGCCCAGCTCGCCCATGGCGGCGCTCGGCCCGGCTAAATATCTTAATAAATATTATATCCTGGTGGTTGTTTTTAGCTTTCAGTGAGAGCAGCAGCGGGGCAGATGGGGAGAGGAAAGGAGGGAGAGAGAACAAGGAGTGGCTTGAGGCGAGAGCTGCTGGAGCCAAGGGACAGAGAGCCTCGAGGTGTCCTGGGCTGGTGTGGGAGAAAAGCCCCTTCGCAGGGAATGCCCCGCTCTGCTCCGCGCCCCCTTCTCGTGGGGCAGATGCAGCCGCTTTGCGGCAGCGCCGCAGCACCTCGGCACCCGCGTGGGGATGGCGGGTTGTTTTTGACTATGTTTTATTGTTGTGAAGAAGTAGTTCAGTGATAGTATTAATGGAGAAAGCGAATGTGCGAGAAGCGCTGATGGTGCGAGATATGCCCTCCTGCCTGCCAGCCAGGAAGAGATCTTCACTTACCTCCGCGCTTTGCTTGTGCCTTGCTCGTACCCTGCTGCTCGTACCCTGGCAGCCAAATTTCACCGCAAGGCTTCACAGCCTGAGCCATTGCCCCCTCCCTGGCTGTGGCAAAAGCCTCGGTGACTTTCAGGGCCTGCAGACGCTGCGTGGTCCACGTGGCAGTAGGTGGTCCGTAGATGCCAGTGTGGTCTGCAGATGTGTTCACAAGGCCAGCTCTCCGTGTGGACATGAGCAGCCTGTTGATTTCCCACCATTAAGAGCGCAGCCCTCAAGCACTACGGGCAATGCCTGGGATCCTGCAGTGCAGAGGAGTGCTGCTCCAAGCACGTGTGGCTAAGCAACGTGGAGGAAAACAGTCTGAAATCATTATTATAGAGCCTGCTTCCCTCATCCTTGCCTTTGGGCTCCTGTGCATCCCGTGTGTGACTCTGTGCTCCTTTCCTATATTTGGAATACAGGAATACACAGCCCTGTATTTGGGCTGTGCATGCCAGTCCTTCAGCACAGAGGTCCCAGCCTGTTTTGGCCTCTTACCCTAATGCCTGAGGCCAGCTGTGGATTTTGCTCCAGGAACTTCTTAACTCTTCAAGACAGGCGTAAAATTCCTGTTCTCAAATAACTAGATATCTCACACCTGCCGCCAGCTGGGTGCTCTTCCTTGTCCACATCTGCTTTTTGTCCCAAAGAAGGCTGTCATGTAGCTGGTCTTATGACAGACATCTTCTGAGAAGCTCACATCCTGCTTCCTCTTTGGTTTACCTTGGTACAGTAATCGCTTCAATCAAGTCTCCTACATGCAGTTGGTGACACTGCTCAGAAAGGTCTCTGAGCGCTTGCCCGGGTTAGAATGGAAACAGCACTAAATGCAACCAGCTCTGGGGTGGAGTGTGTTGCAGCCGCCCACGTGCCCTGGACAGGAGGAAACAAACTGCTTCTCCTGAAGCTGCTGTTAGACTGGCTGGGACAGAGCCCCCAAGTCCAAAAAGTGCCACTCAGCCCTATGGATGCTGTGATAGAGCCTGTCCGTGCAAGCTTGGTCTTGCGGGCACCTCGGTGGCTGAGCGCGTGCACATGGCACAGCCTTTCCTTGATGTCTCTTGACCAAACCCATGTGTCTCATGACCAAACTCATGCTTTTCGCTATCAAATAATGACTGATAGTCATCACCCCTGTTGTCTGGGGAGCTCAGGCCGTGATCACTGCTGAAATGTGCCACCCTCAATCATGAAGAGCAGCGTACAGGGGCAAAATGCATGGGGACAAGCAGGTGAGAGAAGGTCATGAGAGAAGGTCACCCTGTGGAACTCCCAGGAAAGGGTGGTTGGACCCTTGAGCAGGGGGTAGGCCAGGCAGTGTGGGTCTCTACCCAGTAGTTGATGTCTGATTGAGCCTGGACCTCTACAATGCCTGAGGGGAAAAGGGCCGAAAGATTCAGAGCAGGAGATACTCTTTGGAGTGGTAATAGTTTAGTCCAATGTGTCTACAAGACACTGTGATGCTCAGGGCTTGGAGATGCTTTGGGTTGCTGTAGGCTGGAGCTAGAGGTCTGGCACAGGTTGAAACCGTTAAAGGTTTCATTAGGGGCATCTGCTTTTCCCAGAGTGAAAGCTTGCTTTGCTTTCAAGGACCATCGCTAAAACTTGTTTGGTCTATTCAAGAAGTTGCACGGAGGACCAGGGAAGTACCTCTGCAGTTTTCCAAGGGAAGGAGGAAAAAGGGGCTGGTAAAGCCTGTGAGGAGCTTTCGGAGAGGCGTGCAGCCACGTGGGTTATCACACTGTGTGTGAGCACAGACAGATCCTGGCTTGCACCCGGTCCTGCCCCAAGCCCCTTCTGAGCAGAGGTGGCCTCCTGAGGCTCCTGCGCAGCAGGAGTGTTTTATTTCTGCACAATCTGGGTGCTTTAGCAACACCTTTTCCTAGAAATGATCTGCAAGAGCCCTTAGGTTAGTCTGGTTAGCCTGGGCCTGTGCGCTGTTGGTAAGATAAAATGCCAGCGTGCCTTTCCTTGCCGAAACCTGTGCCTGGCTCTCGTGGCACATACGTACTGCGCCTGGCACAGGGCGCCTTCACCAGCAGCGCTTCGTCATAACTCCAGTTTCCCTGCTAAGATACCTTCAGATTTCTGCTCCGTAAAGGAACAATTTAATGTCCTAAACTCTGCGTAATCTCACCACTTAGCTGGTGCTTACTCACCCTCACCCCTGCGCCAACTCCCACTGAGTCTGGTGATCCAGTGTGGGTTAGAGCTGCCTGGCTTCATTTCCCCTCAGTCAGGCGCATCTCATGCAAATCATTTGCACAGGCCCTCTAATTTCTGAGAAGTATCAGAAAGCCATCAAGCACTCTCCGCATTTATTTGCAAACACTATTAACCATTTCCTGTTCCAACCACTCTTGCTTGCTGCCTGATTCAGACCCACGCATGTGAATTCGGTTAGAAAGTTGTTGGGGGACATTGCAAGTGCGTGGGTTTCTCTTCCTCAGCATGTTTTTGTTGTAACTTACATTCCTCTGCTTACATGGGATCCTTTTTTTTTTACCCTGAGGGTTCATGGGCATATAGGTCTGGGCTTCAGCTGACTACATCCAAGGTTTGGTCATTGCATTCTTCACTAAATGATCTCTGGATAATTAAAAGCCATTTCAGTGTGTGGTTTTATATCCAAACAGGATGCCGTTCTCTGCAGCACCTTGCTGGCCTTGGGCTGGCACCTCGCCGGCCTTGCTCGTGCTTTTTGCTTTGTAGCTGGCAGAGCTGCTGGCCATCCTGGGGCAGCCCCTTTTGGCCAAAAAGGGACTTTCTGTGCTGAAATGAAATGGGCTGAAATGTGCTTGCTGAAGTTCTTGTCTCTTTAGCTTTGAGTAACAAACTGAGTTTTTCACTTTGTCCCCTTTTTTTCTGCCTTTTTAGCCCTTCTCCTTCAATGGTCAAGTGGAAAAGGGCTCAGGAGAAGGACTGCCACATGCAGTCAGCCAGATCTCTAAGATCTCTAAGGCAGAGAAATTATGGGATTTTTTCGAAGCATCAAAGGGTCTTTTTTTAAGTCTGAACATTTCCTTTCTTTGCATGGCATCCTGCTCTCACTGCCCGGCCCTTGTCCCATCCCCACTTAGCCCCATGGCACTGCCCCCCTGCTGCTGTCGCTGCATTTCGGCCTCAGCACCAGGGCCTTGGTAGGGGCAGGATTTTTGCACTGCCTCTTTTCAGAGAACCCAGTTCAAGCTGCTTTGAATGACCCTGTAGGTTTGGCCAAAACATGCAACCTCCTTGGTGTGGGCTGAACAGGATTCAGCAGCACGAGTGGGGAGCGTGGGGTTGCGGCCTGCCCTTTTCAAGCCCCTTCAAGACGTGCTCATTCCTCACCGTCATGCTTGGGGACCCCACAGAGAAGAGCGTGGCAGGATCTGAGCCCCTGAGCCCCAAGGTTTTGTACTGCTTTCCTTTGGTTGGAGGTGGAAAAGCTGGTGCTGGAGCAGGGAGCTGCGTGCGCTCGGCCGCTGTTCAGCCTGCCTGAGACTCCTGCAGCACCGGGGCGGGCTGCTTGATGCCAGCAGCCACAGCGCCGCAGTGGCACCCAGAACATTGTGGTGCCGCTCTCACTGCCCCACACATCGCATCTCGCTTTCCCCTGCAGCTGCCATCACTTTGGTGCAGCGATATCGATCCTTTCTTTGCTTTTCTTTCTTGTTTATTCTCAAGCAAGAAGGAGGGGAAGTGTTCTCGCCCTTGCAGCAAATCCAGCTTTCTATCAGCGCTCTCCTGGAGAGCTCCTGGCCTGCCCGTCCCTGCGGTTTCTCCTGAGGGTGCCGGTGGCTCCGGTGGCTCTGTGCGCTCTCCTGTGCTTCCCAGCTGCGCAGCCTTGTCCTGTGCCCTGAGGCCACACGGCTCCTCTGCGGGCTGCGGGGTGCCTGGCTGCACCGCGCTCACATTGCCCTTTTTCTCTGGGCTTTTTTTAGCCCTTTTTTCGGTAGGCATCTGGGAGGAAAAGCCTCCTTGGGATGAGCTTTCACCTTTTCTGGGGTTTCCCTTTAATGAAACCCTCCACATTTTTTTTCCGAATTCTCTCCTCTCCTCTCCTCTCCTCTCCTCTCCTCTCCTCTCCTCTCCTCTAAAAAAAAACCTTTACTGACCCCCCCCCCATTCTTCTTCCCAATTCTCTCCTCTCCTCCCCTCTCCTCCCATCCTTCTCTCCTCTTTTTTTTCCCTTTTTCCTTTTTTTTTTCCCAAGGGGAAACCAGGAAATTGCAAAGAAAAAGGTAGTAGCCACCTCTTTTTACAACTCTGTTGTGTAAGGTGGAAAGCGCTTCCCTCGCGCCCTGCTAGGCCGCACAGTGTCCTTGGGCCCGGCTGTATACAAGGGTGTGGGAAGAGGACAGCTCTTTACCTCAAGCATCTCATGAGAGAGGAGAGAAGCCAAAATGCCAGATGAGACTATGAAAGAGGATGGGACAGGCTGAGCTGCCACCCCAGACCCTGAGCCTTGCCTGCTCCAGCTCAGAAAACTCCCTCCTTGGCCACCCCTTGTCCACTGTCCTGCCGGCTGCCATATCAGAAAGTGAGACAT